TATGTATGTATGTGTGTATATATATATATATATATATATGTGTATGTGTATGTGTATGTATATATATATATATATATATATATATATATATATATACACACACACCCTACATAGCACAATGACTTATGGGGCTGGCATAGATTTTTTTCCAGGGCTGCTTCGTATCCCCAGTCCGGCCCTGACCAAAAGGTCCTGTGTTAAGAGATGAGCTGCTGCTGGTGAACGGGTCTGATTCTGTATTCTGTATTTGACTCATACAAGTCTGGTAATGCATTCATGAACTATCTCCGACCTGTATTTTTGCATTTTAACTATTTTAATTTATATTTTTAAGTGTATAATAAACTGGCATTTTTTGATTAATAGACCCAGTTTTATTTGCTTCAATCTACTAGCGATACATTGTATATATTGCTTAAGCTAACAGTTCCATATACTGTGTTTCTTACTATTTAGATACTTTCATCTTTGATAATACAAAGTATATTATCTAGAACGGGCATCATCTACCTCATACCTCATTGGGGATTAAGATACCTGTTCTATACATATTTGCTGCACATTTATTTAGGAGCTCGGTTTATTTTTATTTTTATTTTTCCTTTATTCTTTCTATTTTTTATTCTTTTTATCGTACTTTATTCCTTTATATTTTATTATTTTTTTCTTTGATCCCTATCCTGTTTCATGTTTTAGTCCTTTATATTTGCATATATTCACTTCTTCTCTTTATTTGTGTTTTTCTTTCTATGACCCCTATTTAAAGGGACATTACACAAATTGAGTATTTAAAGGTATAGCATCAGCTTTTTTATTTTACACTATTTTAGCCATTAGTCACTGAACTAGCTCCTGGAATCTCCACTCTTCATTTAGAGTTTTTTTCTTATATCTTATATAGGTTTTTAGTGAACCCCTATTTATTTCAGTTTCTGAGTAGCTTAGTGCTAGTCTGTCTCCCTCTCCCATGTGTGTCACATTAGGTACACCAGAATTTTCCTAATAAGTCTTTCCAGAAGCTTTGAGAAAAAAGGGAGCAGGGATATGAGATGATAGTTAGAGGGGGAGGATCGGTCAAAACATTTTTTTTTAGGATAATTACTACAGTGGCATGTTTAAGGTCAGCGGGGACAATGCCAGAAGAGAGAGAGCAGTTTAAGATGTGTGTTAAGGAAGGCACAAGACAAGGGGAGAGAAATCTGATAAGGTGAGATGTAACAGGATGGCAAGTGAACAGGCAAGTGGTGGGGTGAGAGGAAAGGAGAAGGGCGGTCATCTCTTGTTCAGTAGCCAGGGAGAAAGTCTGAAGGTTAAGAAAGGCATGATTTATGTGTGGTTGAGAAAGAGAACGGCAAGTTGGAGAGAATTATTTCCTTAGCTGTTCAATCTTGACGGTAAAGTAGTATGCAAAGCTATCAGCTGTAAGGTTAGTTTGGGGGGTGGCCACAGAAGGGCAAAGAAGAGAGTTAAAGCTGTCAAAGAGACGCCTGGGATTGAGGGAACATGAACTAATGAGAGAGGAAAAGTATGACTGTTTGGCGAGGGCAAGGGCTGCACTGTATGAACACAATATGAATCTATAATGGAGATAGTCTGCCTGGGTGCGAGACTTCCTCAAGTCTCAGCACAAAGGGAGCATCTTTGCAGGTAGCGTGTTGATTTAGTATGCCACAGTTGGGGGCATGTCCTCCTCGAAGTGCATGTTTGGAGCTGAGCTGCAGTGTTGAAGGCAGAGGTGAGGGTAGTGTTATATGTGGAGATGGCCAGTGAGGGACAGGAGAGGGAAGGAATGGATAGCAGTTGTGAATCAATATCAGCTGACAGCTACTGGAGGTCAGTATAATTAAGTTTTCTCCTGAGTTCAAGGGGGTTAGGCTGAGGTTTTTTAGTGAGGGGGTACTTGAGAGCAAATGATAAGAGGTGGTGATCAAAGAAAGGAAATGGAGTGTTGCAGATACTAGATACTGTACATGCACAAGAGAAAATGAGGAGGAGGGTATTGCCAGCTACACGGGTGGGAAAATTAGTCCTGTGATAGCCGAGGAAGGAAGTAATTAAAAGTAGTTTAGAGGCTGCTGAGGTCAAAGGTGGGTTAATGGGAATATTGAAGTTGCTGAGAAGTAGGGAAGGAATATTAGAAGAGAGGAAGTAGAGTTCCCAGGCAGCAAAGTGGTCAAGGAAGAGGAGAGGAGAACCAGGGGGCGATAAATAATGGCAATGTTAGCAGAGAAGGGTTTGAAAAGGTGAATCAAATGAATTTCAAATGATAGGAAAGAGAGGGAAGTGGGGGTGGGTAGAGGTTTGAAGGAGCAGTGAGGTGAGAGGAGAATCCCTACACCACCACCTTTACATTCAGAGTGTATTGGGATGTGGGTAAGTTGATGACCACCAATGGATAACGATGCAGTGGTAACAGTGTCAGAAGGGGAGAGCCATGTTTCTGTTAAGGCTAGTAAATCTAGGAAATGAGTGATGAAGAGGTCATGGACAGATTGTTACTGCAGGGTGGACCATGAGGGAGCTAGAGTGATACTAAGATGGAATTTATGGGGAAACAGAGAAGAAATGTGATCCAGCACCTCTTGCATTGGCACTATAGTAGATAGGTCATCCAAATCCCATGCCTCCTTCCCCCAAAGCCACACAAAAACTCCAGGTGTAGGTGTAAAGTCCCACAACATCCCCAGGTGCCCCACCAGTCTGATTTTGTGAGAGGAGCCCAGAAGTGAGTACACCTATTTTGGTGAGTTATGGCACCTTGAGCAAAGTCCCATGGGATATGACATCAGCCCCTCCAGGAGTGTGCAGGAAGCATTGGGGCAATGCCCCTGGAAGCCTTTAGCCTGGGTGTGCTGTAGCAGACATAGGCACTGTGGGAGCCAGGCTTGTGCCTGTTGGTCAGGACAATCCTCTCCTCTGGTACCGCCACAGCGGTGTGGTTTGCTTCTTCTGGTGCTTGAGTGAAGGGATCAGGCAAAGAGCTGGGCCAGGCAAGAGGTTTATAATGTGGAACTGTGTACCCTGCTGATGAGCCAGATGGTGTGACTCCCTCTCCTCTAAAAGTTCAAATATTTTTTCCATAGAGTCCAGTAGGTCACATGTAAGGGGGTAGGCACTGTGCCCGCCATATTTGCTCTTGTGGTGTGATAGAGCCTTTGTGCTCTCGGTCATGATTCTGCAAGTAGTCGGGTGAGGAGGTCAGGATATCCCTCACCAGCAAGAGGAAGGAACAGGGGACCCAGTCACTTCTCTTTGTTCCAGCAGAGATGCCAGCAGGGAGATCAGCCGTATCTCCCTCGCCTGTCTCCGCAGGTAGGCCACTGCTGATTGTTTGGGCCAAGATCACCGTTCTTGTGGCAGATTGCTCCCAGATGCATTGTAGTATTCTTTATGATGTCACCTGTGTAAGCAGGTCTGATATATGTAGCTGAAAGGTCACTTTAATTGCCCTTTTCTGGCTTTCCTGGTAAGAGTTCATATGAAATGTGGCTTTCCAGTACGGCGATCAGACCCCGCCCCTAAATATGTGTATTTTATGGCAGTAAAAGTTAACAGTATTATGATATTCACAGTTAAAATGCCACACAGAACTAAAAGAAAGAAAACAAATCTTAATTTCTCACACTTTTTAATATTTTATTAATAATAAAATGTTATATATGTGAATAGTTTATGTAAAATGAAAGCCCTATTTCTCCTGAACAAAATTATATATAATAAGTGTGGGTGTACTTAATATGAAAGAGGTGAATTATGGTTGAACAGACCTATAGCACAAATTCTAGTTTTTGTTTACATTTTGTTTTGATCAGAATGTGTACAAATGTCTCAGTCCTTAACCCCTTCAGGACGGGTGACGGACGAGGTCCGTCACAGAGGGGAGACCCTTAACGACGGGTGACGGACCTCGTCCGTCACGCTGTAAAATTAACCTCGGATCGCCACTATCGCGGCGATCGCGGGGTTAATGGTGCTCCCGGTATGCCTCTGCATTAGAGGCATACCGGGAGCACCCGGTCAGGCTGCCCAGCACATGTGCTCGCTCTGACCGCAAGTCAGAGCGAGCACATGTGCTCTGTATACTTACCTTCCGGCTCCCTGCACTTCCTGGTTCTGTGTGAAGTGCAGGGAGCCGGATCAGTGCTGATCCTGCCCCCTGCTGTAAAAAAAAATAAAGTTTATTTAAAGTCCCCCCTTACCCATTTTAATAAAAAATTAACCCCTTCCCTGCCAATTGATCACTGACTACAGTGATCAATTGGCAGGGATTACATTTTACTATGATCTGATTTTTTTTTTTAACCCCTGAGGGTTAATTATTTTTTTTTTTAACCCTCAGGGGTTAAATTAATTAAATTAATTAATTAAATTATTTTTAATTATATATTTAGATAGCTGGGGTGGGTGGAAGTTAGTGGGGAATTGGGGGATTTGGCGTTAGGCTAACTAGGGGTTAACGTTAAAAAAGTTTTAAAAGAAACTTTAAAAAGTTAAAAATTAAGCTTAAAAAAATGTTTTAATAACATTTAAGTAAAAAACAAACAAAAAAAACACACTTTACCTAGTCCAAATAAAAATTAACCCCTTCCCTGCCAGTCGATCACTGTCTACAGCGATCAAATAGAGATCACAGTATTATACTGTGATCTAATTTTTTTTAACCCCTGAGGATTAACTTTTATTTATTTTTTAACCCTCAGGGGTTCAATTTATTTAATTAAATAATTTAAATATTTTATAACTATATATTTTGCTAGCTGGGGTGGGTGGGTGGGAAAATGGGGAATTTACTGTTAGTGCTGCGTACTGCTAGTTAGGGGTTAACGGTAAAAAAAAAAGCTTAGAAAAATTTTAAATCTGTAAAAAAGTTTTAAGAAAGTTTAGGAAAGTTAAAAAAAATTTATAAGCAAAACAAAAGTTTAAAAACTAGTTTTTAAAAGTAAAAAAGTTATAAAAAGTAAAAAAAATACATTTTAAAAATGCTCATTACCACTACACCTGGAACAAACTAGAGAAAAAATTATCCCACGCCAAGGTTCAAAATATGCCTTTTGAATTACCCCAGGGTGTATTCTTTAATAAATAGTATGTGTTTGTGGGGAAGTTTTAATAACCAACCGTCTAAACTACTCCAAATTGGAACATGGACACAGCGTAAAACTTCAAAGTTAGAAAAAAACTGGCTGCGTCTCAAATGCGCCCCTTCAACATCCACATATACCTGGCAAAGGTACATACGGGGGTATTGCTGTACTCAGCCGACATAGCTGAGCAACATATGAAGTATTATACAGTCGTAGCACACATAAGGTTTGCAAAATATACTGTGCAAACTCACTTTGTATGTCAAAAAGGCAGAAAAAATGCTTATTACCACTACACTTGGTACAAGCTAGGGGAAAAATGATCCCACGCTGAGGTTCAAAATATGCCTTTTTGAAATACCCTGGGATGTCTTCTTTAAGAAATGGTATGGCTTTATGGGGAATTTGGATTATATAGCCTGGTAAAATACTCTAAAATGGGACATAGGCACAGCATAAAAATTCAAAGTTTGAAAAAAAACTGTAATGGCTGTGTCCCAAATGTGCCCCTCCGATGTCCACACATACCTGGCAAAGGTACATACGGGGGTATTGCTGTACTCAGCCGACATAGCTGAGCAACATATGAAGTATTATACAGTCGTAGCACACATAAGGTTTACAAAATATGCTGCGCAAACTCACTTTGTATGTCAAAAAGGCAGAAAAAATGCTTATTACCACTACATCTGGTACAAGCTAGCGGAAAAATGATCCCACGCTAAGGTTCAAACTATACCTTTTGAAACACCCTGGGGTGTCTACCTTAAGAAATGGTAGGCCTTTGTGGGGTAGTTTGAATTTAAAACCTGCGAAGATGCTTGGAAATTGCACATAGGCCCAGCGTCAAAATTCAAAGTTTGGTAAAAGCGGATATGGCTTGGTCTCCTATATGGCACTGTAGCTTCACAAAATAGTGACAAAGACATTCATTGGGGGTGTATTTTTACTCAAAAGACTTAGCTGAGTATAATTTGGGAGGTTTGAACTTAGTGGCACATATGAAATATACAAAACGCCCAGCAAAAATGCAATCCGTATGTAAAAAATGCACAAAATAATTTTTTACCACATACTTTGGCATATATTGGTGAAAAAATGGGGGTATGTTAAGGCACAATATGCACCTTATAAGATACCCTGAAGTGTCTCCTTTTACAAATGGTAGGCCTTTGTGGGGGGGTTTTGAACAGTCAAACTGTTATAATACCCCAAATGGAAGCTAAGGCTCATTAAATCCATCTCTCAAAATTCTACTGTGAATACTGTAAAGGACAGGTCTCCTATATGGCACTGTAGTTTCACGAAATAGTGCCAAAGACATTCATATGGGGTGTCATTTTACTCAGAAGACTTAGCTGAGCATAATTTGGGGGTTTTGAACTTAGTGGCACATATGAAATATACAAAACGCCCAGCAAAAATGCAATCCGTATGTAAAAAAATGCACAAAATTATTTTTTACCACATACTTTGGCATATATTGGTGAAAAAATGGGGGCATGTTAAGGCGCAATATGCACCTTATAAGATACCCTGGAGTATCTACTTTTACAAATGGTAGGCCTTTGTGGGGTTTTTTTGAACAGTCAAACTGTTATAATACCCCAAATGGAAGCTAAGGCTCATTAAATCCATCTCTCAAAATTCTACTGTAACTACTGTAAAGGACAGGTCACCTATATGGCACTGTAGCTTCACAACATAGTGCCAAAGACATTCATATGGGGTGTCATTTTACTCAGAAGACTTAGCTGAGCATAATTTGGGGGGTTTGAACTTAGTGGCACATATGAAATATACAAAACGCCCAGCAAAAATGCAATCAGTATGTAAAAAATGCACAAAATTATTTTTTACCACATACTTTGGCATATATTGGTGAAAAAATGGGGGCATGTTAAGGCACAATATGCACCTTATAAGATACCCTGGAGTGTCTACTTTTACAAATGGTAGGCCTTTGTGGGGGTTTTTTGAACAGTCAAACTGTTATAATACCCCAAATGGAAGCTAAGGCTCATTAAATCCATCTCTCAAAATTCTACTGTGAATACTGAAAAGGACAGGTATCCTGTATGGCACTGTAACTTCACGAAATAGTGCAAAAGACATACAATGGGGTTGTCATTTTACTCAGCAGATGTAACTGAACACAAAATAAAACTTTGTACAGGAATAGCACACACCAACTTTACAAAATATACACGAGAATTTCTCTGTTATAAGTTTGTGTGCCAAAAACCAAAAAGAACACAATTTTACTCCAATATTTAGCAGAGGTTGGCGGTGAAATGGCTACGTAGAAAGTGTCAAAACAACCTTAGGTAAATAGCCCGTGATGTCTACTTTATATAAATATATACTTTTGTGTGGCAATTTTGTTTTCTTTTATGGCTATTAAGCTTACAAGACAAACATACCAAATTCTAAAATCGCTCCACATTAAAAGTCTATTTTACTCCTTGTGCTTTGTGACCTGTAACTACCAAAAAAAACTTAAAATCCCAGACACATTATATATTCTGTAAATCAGAACAAATAAATAAATTTATTTTTAATTACTTTCCTTAACCTGCACTAATTATGCACACATTATTATTGCAAAAACTGTAAAAAAAAACAATATTTTTCATTTTTTTTGCATTTTTCTGTATTTTTTTTATAATAAGTAAGCATATATATATATATATATATGTTATATCAAATTAAAGCCCTTTCTGTCCTTTAAAAAATAGTATATAATATGTGTCGGTGCAATAAATGAGAGAGATGCAAATTGCAGTTGAACGCAAACAGCAAGAAAATGCAAAAATTGCTTGTGTCATTAAGCGTAAGTCAAGCTTCTGAAGCTGTGTCCTTAAGGGGTTAAGGGCTTAATAAAAAAAACTAAAGTTGTATACACTCATTTCTTAATCATATGAAGGAAGAAAACATTTTCTAGATAGGGTATCTACCATATACATAAATAATAAATAGTTATAAAATAAATTGTATCCTTTGAGGAGCTGTTGCAAGACTGTCTGCTCTGCCCATGGGATTTCTTCAGATACAGATTTGCAGTTATGAGATTGTGCTCTACACAACAAAAAATGCAAGGTGGCTGTCCATGGTCAGACCTTTGTTGAAAATCTATGTGCAAAAGAAGGGGTCAAAATTCCCTTATTCACAATGCCATATGTTTAGAAAATAACCTGACTTATGTAAATCAATGGGACAGAGATCTGGGTGGGAAGCAAGAGGGTGAGGTTTGGCAAGATATCTGGGAAGTAGCTAGTAAGATGGTTAAACCAATGAGGAGGTGTCATATAGTGCCATTGTTTGGCAAGCTCTCTAATTCTCCAATTGTGTTTGGGACACAAATTGCAATCAACATTTATTTCATTAAATACATTTTAAATTAATAAAAAAATTAAATGAATTTGCTTTGCAGTTGAGTAAATAAGATGCACACAATGCTGGGATATGGGAGCATACCTTTGTGATCATGTACATGTTGATAGGATATTTGCGCATAGACTGTGAAAATAGGACATTTAGCAAATAAATAATCATGTGTCTTAATAAATTCCCTTCTCCAAAATGTAGTCTCCCACATTAAGCCATGTTGGGAAAAAAAGGGAGGGAGGTGGGGAGGTGATACCAGTTATATAGGAGTTACCCTTTAAAATAGTGAACTATAAAAAAAATGACTTAATGCAAACTCAGCCATTCTCTGATTTTCGCAGAGAATTATTAGTAAAAGTCCATGATTATGTAATGACATCTTTCCTATAAATTCCAAAAGAGAATAAAAGTGCATTTATTAGTCTGCAATATGTCCTGATGTTAATGAAAGAACTGTATTTATAAGCTACAAATTGTTGATTGTTTTATGTATATTGATGAGATATTATATGAATGATCATTGTTTTGACCCCTCTTGAAGGAGAAATAAGCTTGCCACATTCAATTATACCATCTGATTTCTCACTAAGATAAGTATATCGCATACCATCATTAGTAAAGCACTAGTTTAAATGATAAATAGTAATATACATTATGTCAATACTCGCCCATAGAACCATGAGGGGTACAGAGATGTCATATGAAATATCTGTCTAAATACAAGATGTCAGATAATTACAAACTACATAATCCATAGTCCACTAAAGTCCATCAAGTTCAATCCCAAAGCCCATTCTTTTATGAAATTGATTGAAGGGAAGGCAAAAAAAAAAAAACAATTGTAGCCATTTTCAATTATGCTACAAAAAGGGAAAAAAAATATTCTTGACCCATAATGGAAATCAGATTTCTCTTTGAATCACCAACCTGTTTACATTCATATACAATTATATCCTTGAATATTCTGTTTATGCAAAAAAGCACACAAGACTTTTTTTTTTAAAAGTATATATACAATCTATTAAGACAATATCTTTAGACAGATAATTACACATCTTTAGTGTTATTACTGTAAATAACCTCTCTCTCTGCTGTAAGCAAAAATGCCTTTCTTTCAGTCTTTTCTCTCGTCTGTTATATATTCTTGCAAATTAAATTGGTTAGCACATAATTGTTTGTACTGACCATGTATACATTTGTATAGTGCTATAGTTCATTGCCCTCTGAGGAGCCTTTTACAAAAGAAAACCAATCACATTTTTCTATCCTTTCCACCCCAGTTACTATTTTTTGTAGCTCATAATAATTGTTGTTACCTTTTTCTAGCAATATCCTTCTTTAAAACCTGTGCCCAAAATTGTACTAAATAATCAAAGTGGAGTCATTGTTTTGTAAAGAGGCAAAATTATATTTTGATTATGTGAATCAATAGCCCTTTTTATACACAAAAGCACCTTACTAGCTTTTGCAACTGCAGGCCAGAATTGTATGCTCTTGCCTAGTTTGTGATCTATAATTGTTCCTTTTCATTTAATGTTATGTCTAACTCAGGGCCTTTTAATGTATAATTGGCTTGTGGTATCCTAATTCCAAAATGCTTAACTGTACACTTATCTGCATTGGATTATCTGCCAATTGTCTGCTTAGTCCCTCAATTTATCCAAATCCTTCTGTAGTTATATCATTTTTTAACTGAGTTATGTGTCATCTGTGAACACAAATGACTTGCAATGCCCACTTCAAGATCATTTATC